AATGAGAATTGATTAGTTATATCTTTGCGATTCATGTTCAAGACGGTTTTAATTCATTCCTGATTGCATGCATTCTACACTCTCAGATTCAACCTGAGAACTGTCCTGACTTAGCGCCTTTAGCCTTCTGAACTTTAAGAACAAGCATAAAAACGCCCTCTTGCATTTATTTTACTGTTTTGCATTACACTCATTATTTATCGCTTAGCTTAATCTGAATCTATAATCGCTAGTGTGGTTTACATACTCCCTTGGGATTCGATAACCCCTTGTACTACAACTGCTTTTGCTGTGCACTTGCAGTAGTTTTATTTGGGTAAAACCTGACCCTATCAATCTCCTATGTCGCGATTTGGCGAAGTGGCAAACGGGAAGGATCCCTCATCAAAATTGACACGACGAGAGATATATAGTCGTCGGGTTAGCGGATGATAGCATAAGTATGCACTCTGCATATTTGAGTAACCTAAGAACACACAGCGGAGGGATCGGTCTTCCAGTTTGTGACGATTGTAAGGACGTAGTCATGGATAACAGGAGCAACCAATGACCCGAAGTTTTCCATAGTTTGGGTTCGTACCGAACAGCTTCTGGAATGGAGATTGAAGAGCCAACACTGGAGTAGGCAAGCAATTAATGAGATATATTGCAGCAGCAAAGGCGTATGGCCAATACGTCTTCGGAACGGAAGCTTTGCTCACCAACGTCATTCCCATTTCCACGATATGGCGATGTTTCCTTTCCGAGAGTCCATTATGCTCCGATGTGTGGGGTGGCGAAGTGAGATGAGAGATTCCTGCATCAGAGAGATGTTGACGCAACGCCATGTATTCTCCGCCATTGTCAGAATATAAGGTACCAATTCTCCTCTGAAATTTGTTTTCTACAAGGTTTTGAAAGGCAATGAAGGTGTTTTTGACTTGGGACTTTTGTTTGAGAGGATATAACCAAGTATAACGGGTGAAATGGTCTATAAAAATGACATAGTATTTGAACTGATCAAGAGATAGAATGGGAGAACTCCATACATCAGAGTAAAGATATTCAAGTGGTTTTGTAGAGATGATTGTGGAATGAGAAAATGGCATTTTATGAGTTTTATTGAGTAAGCAATCAGAACAGAAAAATTGATCTGACGATTTATTTGAAACAGGAAGAGAAAAGATGGTAATAGTGGTGTTTAAAATGGATCTTGATGGATGGCCAAGACAGGAGTGCCATAAGGGACGTGTTGCAGGAGACATTGTTGCAGAGAAAACTGTAACCAGAGGAGCTTGCCGTGGCCATTGATACAGTTCAGTGTTAACTTTGCCTTGGAGTAATGGGGTTCTCGTTCTGAGATCCTTCACCTGAAAGGAGGAAGGGAAAAATTCAACAGACATGCGGTTAGTATTGCATAGTCTGTAGACCGATATGAGATTCTTGTGTATATTCGGAACATATAACACATCTTGTAAATGTATTTTACTAGTGTGTGTAGGAAAGGAGACAGAACCAGTGTGGGTAATCGGGATAGAGGAGCCATCAGCAATGATTACATCATCATTCCCATGATAAGGTTGATGCATCGAGAGGTTTGCAAGGTCGGAGGTTATGTGGTGTGTAGCGCTGCTGTCCATGAGCCAGTTATTGGCTGAATACTGATTGTTGACTGCTAAATTTTCTCTTGGCTGCCAAGGGGTGAAAGGACTCTGTTGCGGATGTGCTGTCGCCTGAAAGGTCTGCAGTTGAGAGCACCATTTGGCACTATGCCCTTGTATTCTGCATATCTGGCAGCGGCCAAGGTAAGGTCTCGATCTTCTAGGATATTGTTGCGAGCGTGGGTGTTGTTGTGATGTCTGCCAATTATTGTTGTAAGACCTTTGACGATTGTTGTTGTAGCGATTTGGCTCTCGAGTGTTGTTGGAGTTGTGCTGAACTGCATTAGCCGTGATTGGAAGTGATGGAACAACGAGGTCTGTAACTGAGAGAAGCTTAGCCTCATGATTAAGAAGGCGTTCATGGATCTCCGTAATTGTTGGTGGGGTATCACGTCCTTCTATTTGGTCAATGACATTTTTGTATTCTTCAGGTAAGCCTTCGAGTATCAGATCAATGTGATCTTCATGTTCCATTGCTTTTCCAAGAATTGCTAGTTGATCGAGCCTTATGGTTACGCCTTGAAGGTATTCATCAATAGTTTTGTTGTCTTTACGCCACTGTTTCAGCTGAATTTTTGCTTAATGTGGCCACGACTTGGTTTGGCATAGATTAGAGCTACCGTTTCCTAGACTTGGTAGGATGTAGTAGCACGAGAAACAAGTGGCTGTAGGGCGGGCGCGATGGCTCCAATGAGAGAGCTAAAAATTAGCTTGTCTTGACGCTTCCATATTGTGTATGCAGGGTTGACAGAAACGACATCACCGATTGTCAACGTTGCTGGCGGGTTTTGAGTGGATCCATCGATGTGGTCGGCGAGATCATACCCGTCTAAAAGGGCATGAACCTGAATTTTCCACATAAGGTAATTCGTAGCATTGAGTTTGGAGACGCTTGTCATATTGACATTGAGGAGGGTTTGGTTGTTTGTGGAAATAGTGTCATTGACAGTAGGAGAAATGTTTTCAGAGGAGGAGGTCATTTTGTGTTTGACACTGTTTTGCGAAAACTGAAAATTTTTGTGATTTTGAATCCAAAGACTCTAATACCATATAGATTGTAGAAGTTGTTCATTCTATTTCACTTGTAAAGAGTATATATACATACAGACTACATACTAGGGTATTTGAAGATAATAAATGAGAATATCAATTACACATATTTAGCTGCTTAATGTATGCAATCATATAAGCGTAACTCACTCAATGCAGGATATGATGATATCCCTATATGAGATACATACAAATCCTATAATATACATTGGTCATTATCTCTAATAAGATGCAGTCCTCCGGCAAGGAACCCAACGGCAACGTTTCCGAAATGTTCCCACCTCCGCCTTCGCTGCTAGATCCGATGTGGTGTTTTTTTTTTTCTCTGCATCGTCTACAATCTATAGTTGGAAAAGCTTGAGCGAGACAGGCCAAAGACTTTTAGTGGTTTCTTCTGTTGTTGAAAAGTCGTTACTAGCTCGCACATATATACGAAACTACCCTCTCTGCATTAATGTGCACGTTCCGGATCATTCATGAACTCGTCTTTTGCAAGTGAAAATAGAAGCACACTTTAAAGCTGTTTATGCCAATGAGAATGATGAATATAAAGATCAAATATCCAAAATTCAGAAACATTATTTGCATCGCTGTGCACGTTTCGTCTCTGTCTCATGCTCCACGTGTTTAATGATGCCTTCGGTTTCGAAATATCCTTAACAAACAAACCTTATAATAAAGTCAAAGTCATATATAAAGCATATAAGAATAAGATCATCAATGATCTAATTCCCAACCATAGCCATATATTTTCAATGGTTTATAATTATATCTATAAATTCTCTTCTAAAATATAATGATCTATAAGCAGATAAAGAAGAGAATTCTACTAATTATATTCATACATTTTCATCGTAAGAATAAATAATAAATTTATACATCAATGACCCAATAACATCAAATTTTAAAACAAAGACAAAATGAGAATATTTCAAAAAAATTGACTTACACAAAACTCTGTTCGTTCAACAAGGCCGGTCCATGAGGCGAACCATAATCACATTCGAGATCCCTCCCGCTACTCTCGGGATGTTAGACACTGCAAGTGTCCTCATATCAGTCCCTATCTGCGATAGACTCATCGTTCCTTTTGCTTGAAGATTCACAGGTCAAGCTAAAGGATTCACTGATCTACAACGTATGGAGATTGGACTTTTCGTCTCTGTTCTGAGCTTGGCAGCTGCAGCTATCGTTGAGACAGTTCGGTTACGGTTGGCACGAGATCTTGATCTGGTTGAGAATTTCGCAATCGGTTTTCGTGTGAATTCAATCTTATTACCAGTTATATAGTTAGTTCAAGGAATTGTGATTTCGTATCTTCCAACTTTGCTGAGCTTTTAATTTGAGGGTTTAGCTTGCTGCTGATGCAGTTTATGTATATTTGGTTCAGCTGTATTTGTTTCAAAGAGAAGTAACAGAGAAAGGTTTCCTATTGGCGTTGATGCTGTAGAAATTATAGGAAGTTGGACAGTCTTCACAGTTTCTATTTTACCAATCATGCTTTTACTACTTTTATTCATTTTAAAGTTTTTACACTCAATTTCAGTTTTTTTTCCTTTCTTTTGTATTGCTTTTTTTAAAGTCTCTTAAACTTGGCTGTGAAAACCAAAAAATCTTTTTATTTCTTTTTTTTTTATTAAAATAAAGTTTTTTCTTTTTCTCATAGTAACTAAAATCTATATCTAAATTCATATTGATTTTATCACAACTTTTTTTAGATAGATTAATTATTACACTTTTTTCCTTCTTCTTATAAAATCCATATCACCATATTTTTACATCACTTTATTATTATGTTGTCTGTAGTATTATAAATTAGAAAGTATGGAAAATAGGAATAAATCACAGTTTTTTAATTATTTTTACTTATTTTTATAATAAATAAAATTATTAATTATTGATATTTTTTCTCTTTATAAAGTTTCTTTTTTCTAAATAACTAATCAATTTTCAATTTTTTGTTATGCATGTAAAAAAGTTTAATAAAAGATTAAAATTATTTTTTACATATTGATATTTATAACAAATTAAAAATATAACATTTATAATTTAGAAAAATATTTTTTATAGTCATAGATTTTACAGTTTATTATTACCAATCATACTTTTAAAAATATATAAAGTAACACTCACAGTTTTGGTGGCGTTGGTAAATATTAACCTTTCGTGTATATAATAATATCGAAACTCTAAAGTATAATAGAAAAAAATTAAATATACATCAAATCCATGGACTATTAATCAAGCTAGCTTCCCACAACTTTATGATCCAGTCTGATACAATTATGTTTGTGTTATAAGTCTCTGAAGATCTATGACTGTTTTTGTATTCTTCCACGAAGAAGTGAAGTTGTATGCTGAAGATGGTTCAGTGGATATTAATGGAAACCCACCATTGAAGCAGAACACAGGAAACTGGATATTAAAAAAAACACTTTCTTTATCTTCAATTGTAATACTTATGATCCTCTCATGTCCTGTCTTTAACTTCCAAAAACCGGTATTGCTTTGGTGCAGCCAACGAATGCTGCGAACGTTTGGCTTATTATGGCATTGCCAAGAATTTAATCACTTACTTCACAAACAAATTGCGTGAGACCAATGTTTCTGCGGCTAGACACGTCATGACTTGGCAAGGAACATGTTACATCACTCCTCTTCTTGGAGCTCTAATAGCTGATGCTTATTGGGGAAGATACTGGACAATTGCTTGTTTCTCTGCGATTTATTTCAGCGTAAGCATTTCCATAAACAAAATGGTTCATCTATAGGATAGATTGTAGCATATTATAGCTGTGTATGTTAGTTAAAGAAGTTTCAAAGCTTCTGTTCTTATCAAACTGTTTCGGTTATGTTCTTTTGCTTGATGTTGTGTACTTTGAATCTGTTTTGTAAGGGAATGGTTGCACTGACACTCTCAGCTTCAGTTCCAAGTCTGAAGCCAACGGAATGTAAAGGCTCCATTTGTCCACCAGCAACAATGGCTCAGCAAGCGGTTTTGTTTTCAGGGCTTTACCTAATCGCTCTTGGAACCGGAGGAATCAAACCATGTGTCTCATCCTTTGGCGCTGATCAGTTTGATCAGACTGATCCAAAGGAACGTGTCAGAAAAGCATCTTTCTTTAACTGGTTCTACTTCTCAATCAACGTTGGTGCATTTGTCTCATCTACTTTGCTAGTGTGGATTCAAGAGAATTGTGGATGGGAACTTGGATTCTTGATACCAACAGTGGTTGCTACTGCGAGTTTCTTCTTTGGCACTCCTCTCTACAGGTTTCAGAAACCTGGAGGCAGCCCTATAACTCGATCTTTCCAAGTTCTTGTAGCCTCATACCGTAAATGGAACCTCAATTTCCATGAAGAAGAAGACCACACACCTCTGTTTGAAATAACGGATGTAAAGCGGAAGATTGAACACACGGACGGTTACAAGAAAAACTTCTGCCCTCTAGTTTCTCTATTTGACAATTTGATCATTATACTGTTCTTCATTGGTTTTGTTTCTTGACAAAGCAGCGATTATCTCAGAAGGAGACACAAAATACGATCCGTGGAAGCTTCGTACCGTGACTCAAGTCGAAGAAGTCAAGATTCTGTTACGTTTGTTCCCCATTTGGGCCTCAGGGATCGTTTTCTCAGTCCTACATTCACAGATATACACCTTGTTTGTTCAACAAGGAAGGTCCATGAGACGAACCATCGGCTCCTTCGAGATCCCTCCAGCTACTCTCGGGATGTTCGACACAACAAGTGTCCTCATATCAGTTCCAGTATACGATAGACTCATCGTTCCCTTTGTGAGAAGATTCACAGGTTTAGCTAAAGGATTCACTGATCAGTTCCAGTATACGATAGACTTTTCGTCTCTGTCTTGAGCTTGGCGGTTGCAGCTATCATTGAGACGGTTCGGTTGCGGTTGGCACGAGATCTTGATCTGGTGGAGAGTGGAGACACTGTTCCGTTGAGTATCTTCTGGCAAATCCCTCAGTACTTTCTTATGGGCACTGCCGGAGTTTTCTTCTTCGTTGGTCGGATTCAGTTTTTCTATGAGCAGTCTCCAGATTCGATGAGAAGCTTGTGTAGTGCTTGGGCTCTTCTCACTACCACACTCGGAAACTACTTGAGCTCGATGATCGTTACCCTTGTGGCGTGTTTGAGCGGGAAAGATGATGGTTGGATTCCTTCAGACAACCTTAACATATGCCATCTTGACTACTTCTTCTGGCTTTTGGTCTGTCTTGGTTGTGTCAACATTCCAATTTTTGTCTTCTTCTCTGTTAAATACACGCAGAAGAAGGTTTCCTAAGGTTATAATCCACCCGAAGTCTGTAACTTCTTTAGGCATTTGTTCGTTCCACCATGGAGGATCAAGAATATTTGTTAAATAAGAAAAGTTGTGGGCTTTATTGTAAGACTTTGAAAGTTAAGAGAAATGAATTAATTTTACTCTAAAACTCTAAAACTTTTATCTAATTATTTGTTTTATAAATTTTCCTGTAAATACATATTTTATTGGATAGAGTATTGGTAATCAATTATTTTAAATTCTACTGTTGTTCAATTGGCTAATCTAAAATTTGGATTGTAGAAATTTGAAAACATTTTGAAAAAAAAAGGCAGCAAATAGTCCATAGCTTCATAGTTGAAAAAAACTATATATATCTAGTCAGTTAGATATATCGATTTGAAATACAAACTGAACTTTTTATTAAAAATATATATATGGTATAATAACTTCAGTATCATACTCTGTTGGATCAATTTTAGTTTGATGTTTGCAAATCATTTAAACACACTAACTGAAGTTTCTATTCACATAAACTTCATCAAACCGTTTTTTTTAACTTTATCTAAATCAAAAAGTTATAGCCTTAAAACGCTATAAAGTTTCCTAAACTTTTCAAATTTCTGAAATTATCTCAATAATATTTCTAACTATATATAGAGATTTTAGTTTTGAAAATTTTACCTTTAAAAAAACCCATTATTACTAATAATTTGAAATAGTTCACAATAATTGATTTAATTGTTGGAGTGTATTTGCAATAAAAACCCAATTAATAAATAGTTTACATTTCACAACATTGCCTTTTGGCTCTATTAACTCATAAATGTTTGCACAAGGTTGGTACTTAACATTTGTGTAGATTTATCATCGCTTACCTTAGTTGAATCAATGATTTCTTCGAATCTTTTTTTGCAATCAACTGCACCTAAGTGCCTCTTGGATAAGAATGATGCTACAATACACTCCCAATCCAATGTCCCATACTTCATCACACCGATCTTCTTAGACATGATTTTTTTGCAAAGAAATTTGAGAGAGATGAAAAAAGCGAATGATGGAGACAGTAATGATGAGTTGATGAGATGATATGAAATGTGAAATACACAACTAACGACTTAGTAAATTAAAAAATAGCCGTTTGTTTTTTCTTTTCTTCCCCTGTCGCACTCCGGTTTGAAATTAAACTCGTTTTAACAGTCACACCCAAACCATAACCATCATTCATCTTCATTGTAAAACTACAATTTTTTTTAATAAAGGTTTACTCATTTGACATTAAAATAAAATATGACAGAAAGGGGCCTTAGCTACATACTTTTGAAGATCATACATGGCTTATTAAAAGAAGAAGAAGAACACAAAACAGGAGAGAGAGAGAGAGGGGTTTATCTTGGAGTTATAATACACACATATGTATATTGGAATAGTGTCTTCTTCTTCATCATCATGCATCCATCTATCATCTTCTTGGTTCTTTTTTTAGCTTAGATATATAGTTTTTTGACTATTTTTCCTTTTACTTCTTGATTGCTTTCCTCTTGATCTCAGGTATTTATAAAAAAAAACAACTTAGAAATCTTTCTTAATTCTTTTAAAAGCTTACAAAAAATAAAAATAAACCCCTAATTTGTGTTGCTTTGTTCCCTTCATGTCTTTTAGTGAATTGTTTTTATAAAAGTTTCCTTCATGTCTTCCTGCTCTTAATTCCTACAATCGTTTTCCTCTGACGCGATAATATATGGAATATTTGTAGATTATTATTCTCTTCCACGCTAAGAAGAAGGTCTAAAGAAATCGTCATCATCATATAACACAAGCGTTGCTCCTTCATCATCATCCTCTGCTCAGCCTTTCTTCATCACCGGTTCCGGCGCAGGAGATAACGACTTTGACCGGGAAGATACTTTCATGTCAATGATTCAACAACCTGACTCCTCAGCTCCACCAGCCAAGAAACGAAGAAACCAACCTGGAAACCCAAGCAGGTATCTCTTACATATATATTTATCAATATGTTTTTCTCTAAAATCACGATAACTAAGCTTTGAGAGAAAGAAAAAGAAAAACCGTTATAGGAAATAAATAAATAAACCTAACTCTTCTTCTTTTTTACACTCGTATCAAGATTTCATTATTATCGACAGGCCATTAATTTATATATATGTGAGACTTGGTTTTCTTTCTATATGCATGTTTGTAATTGTTCGTATCATTGTCATTGTCTTGATTTAGTCCCCGTAGATTAACAGTTTGGATCTCACTAATTGCTACAACCAGATTCGTATGCGATGAGTATGCAACAAAGGGTTTCAGAGAGAACAAAATCTACAGCTTCACCGAAGAGGACACAATCGCTCATGGAAGCTCAAACAGAAGTCAACCAAAGGAGTGAAGAGGAAAGTGTATCTTTGTCCAGAACCCACGTGCGTCCACACCATGAACCATGAACCGATTATATGCTTATATACATCACATGAGATACATTCAAATCCTATAGAATATACATTGGTCATTATCTCTAAAAAGATGCAGTCCTCCGGCAAGGAACTGAACAGCGACGTTTCCAAAATGTCCCACCTCCGCCTTCGCCCTTAGATCCAACGCGGTGTTTTTTTTTTCTCTGCATCGTCTACAATCTATAGTTGGAAAAGCTTGTGCGAGACAGGCCAAAGACTATCTCGCACATATTTACGAAACTACCCTTCCCTGCATTAATGTGCACGTTCCGGATCATTCGAACCAACATAAGGTGAGATCAGGATCATGAACTCGTCTTTGGCAAGTGAAAATAAAAACACACTGTAAAACTGTTTATGCCAATGAGAATGATGAATATAAAGATCAAATATCCAAATCCACAATCTTCGATTCCTGTTACATATTTACGAAACTACCACTATTTGCATCGATGTGCACGTTTCGTCTCTGTCTCATGCTCCACGTGTTTAATGATGCCTTCGGTTTCGAAATATCCTTAACAAACAAACCTTATAATAAAGTCAAAGTCATATATAAAGCATATAAGAATAAGATCATCAATGATCTTAATTCCCAACCATAGCCATATATTTTCAATGGTTTATAATTATATCTATAAATTCTCTTCTAAAATCTAATGATCTATAAACATATAAAGAAGAGAATTCTACTAATTATATTCATACATTTTCATCGTAAGAATAAATAATAAATTTATACATCAATGACCCAATAACATCAAATTTTAAAACAAAGACAAAATGAGAATATTTCAAAAAAATTGACTTAAACAAAACTCTGTTCGTTCAACGAGGACGGTCCATGAGGCGAACCATAATCTCATTCGAGATCCCTCCCGCTACTCTCGGGATGTTCGACACTGCAAGTGTCCTCATATCAGTCCCTATCTGCGATAGACTCATCGTTCCTTTTGCTTGAAGATTCACAGGTCAAGCTAAAGGATTCACTGATCTACAACGTATGGAGATTGGACTTTTCGTCTCTGTTTTGAGCTTGGCAGCTGCAGCTATCGTTGAGACGGATTGGCACGAGATCTTGATCTGGTTGAGAATTTTGCAATCGGTTTTCGTGTGAATTCAATCTTATTACCAGTTATATAGTTAGTTCAAGGAATTGTGATTTCGTATCTTTCAACTTTGCTGAGCTTTTAATTTGAGGGTTTAGCTTGCTGCTGATGCAGATGTATTTGTTTCAAGAGAAGTAATAGAGAAAGGTTTCCTATTGGCGTTGATGCTGTAGAAACTGTAGGAAGTTGGACAGTCTTCACAGCTTCTATTTTACCAATCATGCTTTTAATACTATTATTCATTTTAAAGTTTTCACAGTCAATTTCAGTTTTTTTTTCTTTTGTATTATTTTTTTTTAAGTCTCTTAAACTTGGCTGTGAAAACCAAAAAATCTTTTTATTTCCTTTTTTTTTATTAAAATAAAGTTTTTTTTTTTCTCATAGTAACTAAAATCTATATCTAAATTTATACTGATTTTATCACAATTTTTTTAGATAGATTAATTATTACACATTTTTCCTTCTTCTTTTAAAATCCATATCACCATATTTTTACATCACTTTATTATTATGTTGTCTGTAGTATTATAAATTAGAAAGTATGGAAAATAGGAATAAACCATAGTTTTTAATTATTTTTACTTATTATTATAATAAATAAAATTATTACTTATTGATATTTTTTCTCTTTATAAAGATTCATTTTTTCAAATAACTAATCAATTTTTAATTTTTTTTTATGCATGTAAAAAAGTTTAATAAAAGATCAAAATTATTTTTTACATATCGATATTTATAACAAATTAAAAATATAACATTTATAATTTAAAAAAATATTTTTTTATAATCAGAGCTTTTACAGATTCTTGTTACCAATCATATTTTTAAAAATATATAAAATAACAGTAACAGTTTTGGTGGCGTTGGTAAATATTAACCTTTCGTATATATAATAATATCTAAATTCTAAAGTATAGTAGAAAAAATGAAATATACATCAAATCCATGGAGGATTAATCAAGTTAGCTTCCCACATGTCACGGACTTGATAATTAGGATCAATTCCGTACGGCCCTAGCCTCTCTTTGCCTCTGCAAATAGACTAGGCAGTCTGTCTCACAAAGAAGAACCTAACTCTTTAGGAAAGAACTTTGAAAGAAAGAAGGAAAATGCTTGAATAGCTCTCTTATTCAAGAATGAGTGGATGATTAGAAATGAGGGATCCCACCCCTATTTATACAAAAACACCTCCAAGATGGATGGTGAGGATCATCTTGATCTAAGGGCCAATATTGAAGATATGAACTTAATTATAAAATCAGTAACTAATGAGGGCGGATTTGTAGGGATTTGGGCGGATTTGTAGGGATTGATGGGTTGACTGAGCAGATTCTCAGGGATTGCTTCTATCCTCATAAATGCCATCAAATCTTCTAGAAGTCCTTCCAAAGTCATCCAAGATGATAACCTCATGTAGTCACTCGCTGGTCCGGCCCAAATAGATGTTGTG